AATTACTGCATATAATGCTCACTTAACTAGGGTCAGATCCAAAGATAGTAACTCTAGCAATACGGCCAGCAGGTTTATGTTCTTAGAACTTGCTGGGAGGAGTATCCTCAAAGTGTCAATAATGAGAGGCAATGGGGAAACAGTAAAAGCCACTGCAGACTTGCAAGTGGCTTCTTTTAAAAGCTGTGTGATACATAAATGATGAAGTGAAAATTCCTTAAGATGGCAGGGAGAAGATTACTCCCACACACTTGCGCATGGCTAGGTTAAGTCCTAATGAAAAGCATGTAGTCCAGAATGGGAATCATATACCAGTGTTTTGTGGGACGATCAAAACAGGACTTTTGACATTGAGTCACATACAGTGTATCTGATTTGTTCTCTCTGCCTTTGATCTCAGACTCAACCCATTTATCAAATGATTATATGATGTGATAGTAAAAGTAATATCTGTCCCTTGTTTTATCTCCACATTATGGTGCCTGTTGATACAGGGCTGTTTCCAGAGGTTCCTATCAGTCGTTTGAAACCCTAAATGGCATGTCAGTGGGGACAGTCACTGTTGCCACTGGTGGCATTTGTAATATTTTCTGCTTGTGCTGACACACACAAACGAAGTGATTTGACAATAATTCTCTAACAAGAAGGATGTTCTATGCAGTCCCCATTTATTCATATTTGACATAAGTGAATGTTTTGAAAAATTGAAAAAATTAGCTCCCTCCACAGAGGTAGTTAGTCTGAAGTCAGGCAGAAGAAGAAAGGGCAGAGTGGCACCTTGGACTCCTCAGCACTGAACTACCTATGTCCAGTTCTCATCACATCACTAGGCTTTGCTACTGACCTAGATGTCAGTTGTGCCCCCTCATCAACATAGGCCACATCACTGAACTAAATTATAACAATTTAATATTCATCTGCTCCTCAATCAACATTGTATATGCTACAACCTGCCTACAGTGCCCTCTACTGCCTACCTTAGCCAGCTAAGATAAGCCCTACATGAAAGAAAGAACATGGATGTTACATTGACATCTGCTTCAGAAACATACATAAGCCTGTGGTAGAACACTTTTACCTCCTTGGTTGAGCTTTCCTTAAACAAAAATACTTCAAAAAATAGAAATCATCCACAGACTGAATTGTATTAACCATGGTCTCAATGAGGACTCTATGGATTCTTATCCCAGTACCTGGACTAGCTGTTGACTCCTATTCCCACCAGGTGTTAACTGCCATGTTATCTCAGTTAATCTAATCAGTCCAATTACCTCTTTCAGCAGTGTCCCCTTACCTGTTCTTTTGCCTTCTATGTATAATCTTTTAGTTCTGCTAGTACAGTGGTTTTCAACCTTTTTTCTTTTGTGGACCCCTAAAACATTTTGAATGAAGATGCAGACCTCTTTAGAAATTTTGAATGGAGGTGCAGAACTCTTTGAATTGTAAGTGTGGGTATTCACATGCTTTTAATTGATCAGAGTCATGTTTTGTGGATCCCTTACACAGTCTGCAGACCTTTTGGGATCCACAGATCACAGGTTGAAAACCACACTAGTACATTCATAGCATCTGACAAAGTGGGTTATTGCCTGCAAAAACTTAACCCTTCTCTGAACCAGTTAGTGTCTAAGGTACCACTCTGCCCCACCTTCTGCCGTCTACCAGAGTACTGCTTTACAACACTATTTGGGACTTTGATGAATAGCATAGCATGCTATAGTTAGATTCTTCTACAGTTGGAGGGATGTCTTTGTAACTGTTTTGCTTTTCCTTTCAGGCTCCCATTCAGAGGAGGAAGAAACCTGCTTCTCAGAAGAAACGGAGATTTAAGACTCACAATGATCATTTGGCTGGAGTGCTGAAGGATTATTCTGATGTTGTTCCTGGCAAACAGTGAACATTTGCAGTTCTAAAGCAAGCATAGGTTTATTTAGGCTCTTTGCCTCTTGAGGTCAATGTTGGCTGGAAGAAAGACTGACTGTATATTGTAATGTGGTGTGTCCCCCCTTTCCTGCAGCTGTCACAGTGAAACCGTTCTGACTAGGAGCAAATACCAATAACCCTATTTAGGGTATAATTTAACTAGCTAGTGGAAATGTGACTTTGAGTAAGAGGTATTCACTGACAGCCTTTCAGTATTAAGGGTTCCTCAGCATGTGATGCTAGAGTTCCTGTTAAATGCTTAACTACACATTTGAATCATTTAGTGGATATTTTCCTGGAGTGGGCTTGCAGGTAGAATTGGATACAACATTTGTTTTATCTATTTCAAGAGGACATATTTATAACAAAGTTGCAAAAGCATTTCTTTTAAAGAGATAAGGGCATTCACAGTTTGTATATTTCTACTTTATCTTGGAATTGAGCTTTATTGAAAGTTGATGTCTAAGATGAGAATTCCCATCAGGCTGCACAGTGGTTATGCTGTTAATCAGAAATCGTCCTCAGGACATTGCTGATGACATCCATGTAGTGCAGTGGTGCCCACTTTTTTTACCCCATGGGCCAAATGAGCAGCGCCAGGTTGGTCGTGGGCTGGATTCCAATCCCACCACTCAGAGCCTGAAAATTTGGTGATGGAGGACTAGTGATGGTGTTAATTGCCACCACTCCCCTGCCAGCAAATTTCCAGAACAGTGGGGAGCCCCACAGACCAGGTGACATGGCTATGCAGGCTGGATCTGGCACGTAGGCCAGGGGGTGAGCACCTGTGCTGTAGTGGAATGCCACATGTTCCACAACTTTGAATTATGAGATTTAAGAAAATGAAAATATAATGCTAAGGTTTTTGTTTTTTAATAAAGCCCATAAAGATGATGTCCCTATATATTGTCTTCATAGACAAGTCTTGTAAAAGAGATGACCAGCATCTTTCGGGACTGTCACATTTTCCCTCCCAAGCTGAAGTAAAGGATTTTGAGTGAAAAGATGTCAAGTGCTAGTTCATCTTTGATGCTGTTCTCTCTCTTTCTTTTTTTCTCTCTCTTTTTTTTTTTTAGGCAGGGGGCGTAGCACCTTAGGTGTGCATGTTATATGTAGTTTACAATATTGTATGTTATATCTTTTGACTAATATGAAACTTACCAGTTAGACATAGTTTGGCTAACTTTCGATTTTACATAAGGAACAGGAAGGCAATTGGTACTAATTTTGTTTTCATGGAATCACAAATGAGCAGCAGATGACATGCTTCTTGAAGGATTTTGCAGAAAGTTAAATGAAAGAGTGACTGATAGTTGTTTTTAAGAACTCATTGCACATGTGGGGAAATGTCTGAAGTTCTTTTCATTCAAAGAAAGGTGTTCTCCCTTTAGTTCACTGTATTTTTAGCCAGCTTTTTCAGTTTAGCTCCATCCACATGGCTCTGGGAGCAAGCTAATGGTTACTTTTACACCTTAATTGTTTTAATGATTTCAGGTGAGGATGGTGATGAAATCACAGTCAAAACATCCGTCAGGCGTTTTTACTAATTAGTTACAGGGAAAAAATAGGGAAATAAAGAGCAAACAGATGTTTTTTTCATTGTAAGTAAGCGTTGTCAGTGCTCAACCATAATGTTTTGATTGTGGCCTTGGAGAGCTGACTCGGGGCCAGCTAAGATCATATTGGAAAGACCAGGTAAAAGGTATAGTCCTACTAATGGAAAAGGTTTCCACCTTTTTCCCAGTTGCAACAGCTATCTTGCACAGCATTGGAGACAACGAAGCCCCAGTTGCAGCTAGCTAAGTTATATAGTAAAAGCTGAGAAATACCATGCACTGAAGTTCAAGTAAGTGTCATACCTGTACTTTTGAGTGGAAAGCATAGCAAAGCCAAGGAATGGACAATCCTAAAAGAAACAAAGAACTTAAGTGCCACATTGGGTCAGACCAACTGTCCCGGTCCATCTAGTCCAGGATTCTGTCTCTGTTAGTGACAGCAGAGGGTGGTTTAGAGTGAGAGTATGTGTATAGGGCATGTCTAGTGTCCTCCATCCCCTGTCATATCCTCCCTGGCATTCTTGATCATTGGTTTAGCTGCGCCAGAGGATACACTACTGACCATTGTGTTTAATAGCTATTAATGGATCCATCATCCATCAATATGTCCAACACGAGGCTAAACTCCCATCTTTTTGAGTTTCACTTGAGTATCACAGTCTGAGAACCCAACCAATCTTTTCTGATAAGCAGTGGTGGTCTCAAACTATATCAACAGGAATCTAGTCTTGAACACAATGTAAATAAGGTCCCAACATGCGTTGGACTGTTCATAGCTTGACAGTTATGATTTTAGGCTTCCCCTTAAAGTTTAAAGTAGGAGTTCATAGTCCTTTAAAGCCTTAAATCTGTTCCAGTTTCTGTCCTGGAGGTGGGTCAAGTCAGCAAATCACAGAGGAGAGTACCTACTAAGGCAGGGCTGGGAAGACCTTCAGCCTTATGGCAAATCTTTGGCCTCAGTCCAGTGGCAATTATACAGGACTCAACTGGGCCAGTTCCCCACATGAGCATGCAGCACAATTTACGGGGCTTTTGTTTTTCCATAAATTTTAGGCAAACATTTTAGGACCCAGAGGTCTGTGGGCCTGGTTTTCCTTCTCTCAACTCTGCTTAGCTTGAGTCTCCAAGCTGGCAAATTTAACTTTGGTTTCAACCAAGCTGCAAAGCTGCAACTCAGCAACAAGAGATGACATAAAGGTCACTTTGACTGTAGTCCATTCTTGGCAAAGAAAAAGAAGTCTGGAGATCTCGTCTGGATAACCAAAGTCAAAACAAGAAATGGGCCAACCAAAATAAGGAAATTTGGCTTAGGAAAAAAGGAATAATAGTCAGCAAAACTGACCCCCACCTAAGAATGAAAAAAGGTATCAACAGCTAGAAAATCTGGTAAATTTTAGTTAAGAGTAATCCAATATGGTAAGCAGAAATAGGCTTATTAATATGCATTAACTATATGATAAGAAATGTGGTATATGAGGAGAAAAGCTCGCACTTCAGAGCCCCTCCTGCAGAGATCCTGACAGCAATCCAAGAAAATTTCACGCTGTACAGACATCAGACCTTGGAGCCGGGAGTCCCTGGATGAGACTTTACAGACTAATCATCCAGTGTTGTCAAATTTGTTGTACTTTGGGGCAATGAGCATGTTGTATTACTTTTGACTAACCACTATAATAGAATTCTAATTGCTAAAAGCTTAATAAATTTGTTATTGGTTAAGGAGTAACCATGTCCTAGTCTTGAAATTTATACCTGGTACAAGGCCCAATTTAACATTACTGGAGGTAATACATGGTGATACTCACTTGAGGTTTTGTTGCTTCACCACTGCAGCCAGTACCAGACAGGTTCATCGGAGGTGAGGAAGCATTAGTAGTGTGCTTCAACTGCTCCTACTGCTGAAGAAAGAGTTCTTGTAATTGTAGTACCCTGCATTGCTGGTCCTGACGTCCAGTATGCAGCTTGTCGCGCGAATTCTTCCCAAGACATTACTGCCTGGAGACATCCTCATTCTAGTTCTCAGTCATAGAACCATAGGATAGTAGAGCTGGAAGGGATCTCAGGAGTCAAACTGCCTGCTCAAGGCAGGATCATCCCTGTCCAAACCATCCCAGACAAGTGCTTAGAATCAAAAGTACAGCTGGAAGGGACCCCCACAGGTCATCTAGTCCAGGCCCCTGCCCAAGGCAGGATCATCCCTATCCAAATCCATTGTCTAACTTCTTAGCATAACTACATGGTCAACACAACTATGCAGTCAACTCTGATGCAACACAAGACATAACACCCTAATCTGCCACAGGTAAAGCAGGGTGGCTAACATCCTGCTGCTGCAAAGATTGTTAAAATATGCTTAAGAGATCCCTGCAATAGGTTTGTGTCCCTTGCCACAGAGGATGGCAAAACCCCCATAGTCCATACCTATCTGAAAATAAGGTAAAATTCCTTCCTGGCGATCAGTTTGACCCTGAGCAGAGAGGCAAGACCATCTAGCCAGGAACCCCCAGGTTTAAGTCTCAGCAAAATCATCAGCATAACGCAGTCAAGATCCCCAGACTTGGCTGCAGTCAACCCTTAATGCCCCTGGGAATGCTTTAAAGGGGGAAAAAAAACCTGGTGTGTGTAGCAGCAGGGACTGGGGGGAAATCTCTCTTGGCCCCAATGCAGGAACCAACCAAACCCAGAAGTATGGAAAATGCCCATAGTAGAACAGAAGCCTAGCTTTGCCTAGATTATCTCTGACCTATATCTATCTGACCTGAACACCTCCAGTGACAGATACCACAACTTCCCTAGGCAGTCTATTCTACTGTCTTGCTGTTCCAACAGTGAAGACATTTTTCCTATCCTATCTAAACCTTTACTGCAACTTAAAGCCAGTGAACCATACTCTGCTCAGGGTGTTTTCCCTTGTCTATGATTGCCCTTCAAGAATTTGAAGATTGTTACTTTCTTTCGTAAGCAACTTTTCTGCAAGCTGAACATGCCTGTTTCCTTTAACCTCTCATATGACTTGCCTTGCTACGCCCTTTATCATTTTTTGTTGCCTGCCCTTTGGACCCTCTCTAACTTTTCCACATTTTTTTTAAAATGTGGAGCCCAAAACTGCACACAGCATTCTAGATGAGGTCTAACCAGTGCTGAGTAGAGGCACTATCCCCTCCCCTGTCTTGAACCAAATGCTTCTATTGATGTATCCCAAAACCACATTTGCCTGTGTTGTGCAGACGCATCACATTGCAGATGTGAAGTACCAAGGGTCCCAGATCCTTCTCCATAGTGCTGCCATCCAGCCAGGTGTCACCTATATTGTATTTGTATTTTTTGTTATTCTTCCCAAGGTATAACACATTGCATTTGTTAGCACTGAACTTTATCCCGTTAGCTCCAACCCAGCTTTCAAATTTGTCAAGATCCTTCTGAATTGCACTCCCATCCTCCAGAATGTTTGCAATCCCTTTACAGTTTTAGGTTGTTTGCAAAATTGCTCAAGAAATCTCTATACCAGCATCCAAATAATTAATAAATATGTTGGGTAGCACTGGGCCCAGGACAGACTTTTGTGGGACCCTACCCAAAGCCTCCTGCTAATCTGACATGGATCCATTTATAATTGCCCTTTGCTTGCAGCTATTGAGCCAGTTATCTATCCACCTTACAGTAGCCCACATTTCTCCAGTTTGTTTATGACAAAGTTGTGCAGGACCTTGTCAACAGATTTGCTGAAGTCCACACTATGTGCACAGCATTCCTCTTATTCACCCAAGCAGTTCTTTGTCAAAGAAGGAGATCAGGTTTTTTTGACAGGATTCATTCTTAGTAAATCCATGCTGGGTGCTTGTGATCAGCCTTTCCCCTCCAGATACTTGCAAATGGGCTTCCTTATGATATGCTTCAATAACTGCCCACATACTGAGGTGAGTCTAACTGGTCTGTAGTTCCCTGCATCCTTTTTTTTGCCCCCCTTTTAAAAAAAGGGTTCTACTTTGGCTTTTTTTCTAACTTATTCCTAAAACCACACAACAACCCCATTGTACAACTGCAAGTTATATTGCCCCAAAACACCAAAGACACCTGGATCTGCCACAGGTAAAGTGTGTGTGTGTGGGGGGGGGGACAGCATTGTCCATGTCCCACTGCTGCAAAGGTTGTTAAAAATAATACTTCTACGTTCCATGACAATCTGACCATGGGATAAAATTCCTTCTTGACTCTAGAAGTGGTGATTGGAGTCAAGCCACAAGTGATCCCATATCACAATTGTCTCTTTGAATCAGTGAATGATGCTGGCTCCTCCACGCGAATGTATGTTCCACAAGTGACTCCTCTGGTAGCCTGCCCTTCTCTGACCATGTCCTGCTTTCAGGACCCATTCCTTTCTCCAGTGCCCCAACACCTAAAACCTTAGACTTATCCCAAGAGGTGGAAGTTCCTTTTGCAGGGATTCCAGACAATCCTAGCCATTGGCAACTGGCAGTCAGGTGGGCACATGCCCCCCACTGCAACCAGTCCTGCCGACTGGGGTGGGGGGGGTCCCCCCACAGCTGGCCTTGCTGTTGGGTGGGGAGGGGTCCCCCATGACTGATCCCATGACAACCAATTGTTGTGGCCAATTGCTACAGCTGCTTCCAGGAGTGGCTGTGGCCACTTCTGGGAGCAGCTGCAGTGATCATCTGGTGCTTGCATGGATGGCACTGGCACTCCCACCTGCCCCCCCGCTCATTGCTTAAGTGGTGAGCACAGCCAGATGGGGTGCACCGGTACTCTTGGGGATGGGGGATTGTCTGCCCATTAACACCTTTAAGTGGCTTCAAGCACTCCTTATGCAACTCCAAGTTACACCACTCCAAGGTAGGATTTTCTCTGATCCATACAACTCAGCTCCTGTTCCATTAAGGTTCAGCCTCTCCCTACAGATGTGCTAGTCAAATTGAAGTCCTCCAGTATCCCAGGATGCAGTGTCTCCTCTCCCCCCCACCATTGTGTGAACAGACTTTCTGCCTACAGTTCCTAGTCACCTGCATCTACCCTGGCCTGGTGGCAGGACCAAAGTTGGTCTCTCGTTGTGCAGCTCCCACTTGTGGGGCAGGAACCTCCTTAATCCCATCCCAAATAGGCTTAGACTGGGTAGAGCTTCTGGCTGGGAAGTGCTGTCAGCTCGAACAGCACCCCCAGTGTACAGGAATTCAACTGAAGTGGAAGGAGACTGCTCGATAGCACCCTGTCATAGCAGGTGCCTCCTGCTGCCACCCCTGGCACCTGCCATATTCATGCTCCTAACAGTGTGCTTTACCATGGACAGGCAGGTGGGCATAGGGATGCAGAGCTATACTTTCCAGTCCAGCTTGCCTCACCTCTCCTCCCACACTTCTGGAGCTGGTGGGATGGGGCAGCAGGGGCAGGTGGCTCCAATTGCTGGCATGCAAGTCCTTGGATAAGGTGGGGGGGGGGGGGCTGTGTCTCCTCCTTCCAGT